TAAAGCTCGCAAAGTATAATTATCTTTTTTAAGGTGTGGTATTATATCAAAGAGTTGGAATTTAAGATTATCATTATGATAGCTACATATTAATGATGATGAAAAGAAAAATGAACATTACCTGTATTCTGCTGTTACCCCAGTCGGCTACAATGATGTTTCCATTAGCATCTACAGCCACACCAGTGGGCGCGTTGAACTGGCCATTGCCTTCTCCATGAGAGCCAAATTTAAACAGAAACTCCCCATCTGCACTGTATACCTGCAACAAGTAGTAATAAATTCATACCACTCAGAGAGTGTATTCAGATACACTCTCTGAATATGAAGACTTGCAGGAATCCTATTTCTTTTACCTTAACAGAGTGATTGTGAAAATCTGTCACTATAATTTCATTCTTGTTGTTCACTGCAACAAAGTGTGGACCTGAACAGAGAGATAGAATCATACAAGTTTTGGAAAAAACATATTCATTTTATTTGCACAAATCCTGTCACAGTTATGAGGCCGGTCAAGCATGTTTGATCAGATTGTTGCTGTTCATATTTATGTAAAACACTTTATGTACCGTTCTAAATTTAAAAATGTTTTCTAAAATAGTAGTAAGGAGCAAGACTTTCCAGTTTGAATCATATTTTGCATTGTTAGTGCATGCTAACGGATGTGTGATTGTACTGATGGTTTAAAAAATTGCAACGTGGGTTGGCTGCGTTTATTTTTGAGTTTTTTGATCATCCGTCTCGGTGTTCTTCAGAATCAAACATTTGTTTTTCATAAAACACAGAAGGATTGTTGATTAACAGAGACCACTAAAAAACATCTGGATGGTTCTGTGAAAAAAAAAAAGTATTCAGCCCATTACAGATTTCTTCTGGTTTTGTTTTAATGTCTTAAATGTTTTTAGTTCAATTCCACTACACACACCATGAGCTTGCTACTGCCTGACATGTAGAATGACAAAATCTCTTAAACAGTCTGACATGAAGAAGGATAAAAGATCTCAAAAAGCAGCACTTCATAAAATCAATAAATCATGTTGCCAACAGCGACCATTAAGGTCTTACAATAACTGGCAATTAGTCTTACGTCTCTGTTGCTGAATTTGGATCAACTCTTGTTTTAATAAGTCTGATGTTTTCATAAATGTTGGTGTTAGATTTATGAGTGATGTTAAAGGGATACACACTCAAAGACAAGTATTTTTATTTGGCACTTCACAAACAGCTATATTCTGTCAAACATAAGATGCGTCTTTCTGTTCACCGTTTTCTGATATTGTAGTTATCAGTGGTTTTCACCGTTAGATGACTATAGATGTTTCCTTTGGTTATTCTGTGACTCCATGAATAAGCCTCCGAAGTGCAATTGGTGTGCTTCCCGTCAACCGGCAAACATTTCTTCCTGTTTCAGGTTTTCTAGAGAACCAAAGACTTATAAATCACTTTGCTACCCTCTCCAGACTGACAGATGTCAGTCACTTGCTTTTCATCTGTTCTTGAATTGCCTAAGATCAGGGCAAAATCTGTTGCTTTCTGAGATATTTTACTCCACTTTATGTTGTCAGACAGGTTATTTTTAAGTTATTTGTCGATTCTAGAATTCAGACAAACAACCAGACCTAAGTGTGACTAGAGAAATTGAAAAAAATAAATAAATAAAAATGAGAGTTAATTAATGAATCAACAATTTGGCTATTATATTTTCACATGGCGTGACATTAATTTGATTAGTATTTTAAAATAAAAATTAAAAATGACATTTCAAAAAAATTATTTGAAAATATCTGTCCGTTATTAAAACACATTCAGTCATGACAAAAAGCAAGAACTAAGAAAACCTGTAATGGGGCAAATACTTTTTCATAGCACTGTATTTTTGCAACTTATTTTTTTTATAATCACACAAAAAACACACAGTGTACATGACAACATGTTGATTCTGTTATTCATGAAATTGTAGCTGAATTTCAAGCAAACTCTGTACAAGTATATCTTCATCCATCTTTATCAACAATCTGTCTTCTCTGGAAGTCAGACACGTGATCAGGGAATTGGGTTAGACAGAGGACACCGTGGGATTAAGGTCGCAGCAAGGCCACACTTAGTACTTACTGAAAACTGAGCCAGATTTATTAAAGTTTGGGCCAAGTTTTTCTGAATCAAGAACAGAAGGAAGAACAGAAAGAAAGAACAAGCACGTCATCAGAAATAAAGATAGGCGAGAAAGAAAACACCTAAGGGCAATCTGTAGTCGCCTTCTGTTGCTGCTACAAACCAAGCAATGTCAGCAAGATGTTAAAGTTACAAATAACTTTAACATCTCATATTCCATTAACTGAAGAACAAAAAATATAGTGTCATTATTTAGCTTCTCAATTGTGGATTAAAATACCGAGTTGGACAGAGTAATTTTCTTCCGGTTAAAATAGATTTGGTTTGATCCTCAGCCTTGCCATGCGTGGTCGCAACTAAAAGGAAACACTGAATTCAACCTTTGTCCCATAAAGTAGGGAATGCCCAAAGTGCCAAAATTCAACAGATAATCGTCAACTGATTAAAATTTGAAGGCATCAACAGTTTATTTCATGTATAATAATTTAAATGTCATTGATGTATTTTTTTATTCATAAAAACAGAAATATTTTCTATTTTTCATCAAATAGGTGCAAAATTAATTAAATTATTATTTCAAGTATAGTAAACAATTGAAAAATACACACACACACATTATATATATATATATATATATATATATATATATATATATATATATATATATATATATTGAGCAATTTAGCAAAATTGGGCACAACATGGACCACTAAAAGGTGGCAAAGAGTTTCCAATAAACTAATTGGTGTATGTAATGTGCATCAACCATCATAGTGGGATGCATACACCATATTGGCAGCATTAATTCACTTTACCATGCTTTGTGGCACAGGGACAGGTAAATAAACAACTTGAAAAATGACGTTGCATCATAGTTGTATCCGATGCCATGAAATTGGCCTCTGTTTCTTTAAGAACCTTTTTTCTACCTTTTCTGACACACCTCAAGCAGATCCTCCCAACAATGCTTCTCCTTGCTGTCTGCTGATGACGTTTACAATTGATCTTAGGAGCGCTGTAGCTTCCATGATAAGCTCAGCAGACACATAGATCTACCAGGTTGTTCCTAATTGTTGCGGTCGTTTTGGGTAAATGGATGAAAAATTGGAAGTGTCACCAACAGGAGACACCTGAATGGCTGCCATGGGAGATTCAAGGATTCCTCAAAATGTATACAAATGGGCCAAAGCAACACTCCAGGTATGTGTGTGATGAGGAGATGACATTATAACATGATATAGAGCTTAGAAAAGTCAATTCTGCATGTTACCTCATCCTACTCCCTGCACCTTTTAATCATATACTATAACCCATCCATCACCTTAACACACTTATACTTGCAGGAGCACAATGACTTCTCCAGTGGTCATCAGGCGAGAAGCAAGGTACGCCCTGGACAAGTTGCCAGCTCATGGCAGATGTAGCACAATATATTTATTAAATACATTTCTTTACAGAGACAAAAAGAAGTGTTATGGCGCTAATTTATGGAACCATTGGATATTTGTGTGACTAGATGAATGAGAAACATCCCGTGAAGCTCTTTATAGAACAAATATGAGGTTGGAAACTGTTTTCAATTTATAGAAAACCTAAAACTCTCTGTGACGGCTTGTCTGCAACCCTCTCCATCAGGATTCAAAAAAGCTCTGCTGTAGACTTAGCGTCCCTCCTCACCTGCAAACTGTCTATCAGACGTCCCTCTGCCTCCAAACTTAGTCACCAGCTTTCCATTGGACTGAAAGATGAAGACACAGCAGGCTTTGTTATCCACAGTGATAATGTGTCCGTTTTTATCCATGGCCACTCCTTTGGGACCCATGAGACGGCCTGCACCAATCTTATTCTGTGGTAGAAGAAGACAAAAAGGATTACTGAACAAACTAAAATCCTGTTGGTTGGATTTGTAGGGGTATTTTGTACAGGGCTTTGTTCTGTTCTGCATCCCTCTGTTTTCAGTAATGCTCTAGTTTGGAGACGAAGAGAATTGGATTAAGGGAGGCTTGTGGGTTGACCAAACCAAGCGCATAGAACCATCAATGAACAGATCCAATTGCAAGAATCAACCTGAGGTAGAGAAAATCCATCTCATCTATCAAGTTGATTTTCTTCAGTTGGTTACAATTTGATTTTTGATTCGAGGAGAGGAATTGCTAAAACATCCAGATTGTACCTCAGAACCAACAGCCTCCTCAGAGGAACCTTCCTGGGCTGACAGAACATCTGCTGATGCCAAAGTCAATCCTCTCACCAATAGAGAGAGGACAAAGAGTAGGCGTAACCTGAAGCACAACAGCATGTTGGTTCTGAGTAAGTAAACAGTCATCTGACCCTGTCATAGCCACTCTTGCTCTTTTCTATGATTAAGGCTGTTTTCAGGCCTTAATCTTAGGCCTGAACTTCATACATCCAGTGGGTTCCAGTGGGCTTTGGAACCCACTGCACCTCAAAGGTCTTTCTCCATTTGAATTTATGTGCCCTCTCAAAAAATTCCTCAAGTAGGCATTTAGCAACCAAGATAATGTACTTTGAGATTACATTTTGTGGACAGAGACAAATATTTGCTACAGCGCTTATTAGTACTAATGATTTTTTTTTTTTCCACAAGGCATTACCGAGACCTAGATCAAAGAGACAGTGTATGATGTGTACCTTGAACTTGCCATCTGAGGAGAAGATGCTGACCCATCTGTTGTCATAATCGGCCACCACGATGTCTCCGTTCATGTCTACAGTGACTCCTGTCGGTCTCTGCAGCTGTCCTGGAGAACGACCTCTGACCCCAAAGCGCATTTTAAACTGCCCATCATTGGAAAATACCTGCAGCCATTTGCAGAACTCATGTTTAGCGCATAAGTTGTAGTCTCTAAGTCCACAGTGGTCCTACACAGTTGCTTCTATGTGTCTGGCTCACCTGTATGCACTGGTTGTTGCTGTCAGCCACCACCACTCTACCGTTGCTGGAGGCTGAGATTCCTTGCAGATTTGTGAACTCGCCCTTTTCCCTTCCCCGGGAACCTAATGGGAGAGTTAGGCATTCAGCAATTGTGTTTATTATTAACACTCTCACTGTGTATGATTTATTATCCTTGACAGCCCATACTAGCATGTTCTTGCTAATTCTGAGCAAAGATTATTGAGTACTTCCCAGTCTACCAGGCAATTAGCGGTTTTGAATTGTTATTATGCAATTAAAACTTGAAATTCTCATTTGAGAGGTAGGTAATGCAGCACACTGACAAATTTTTGTGGGTTATATTAGATTAGTTTGGAAGTAAACAGCGCATGTAACCAGTTTTGTGTTGCATCTACTTTGACAGAGAAAAGTATGAAAATTCTGCTTGTTGTTGGAAACATTTTTGTCTGCCAGTTTCAAGAATTTACTAAGAAAATGTTACGCAATAAGAAAAAACAACTTATAAATTGTTAACCTACTTAACAGGAGACATTTTGAAATATCTCCTAGAAGTTTGTCTTACCAACTCTGTAGATGAGCTCATCCTCAATGGGGTTCTCCTTTTTCTTGGTGGTGCTGTACATGCTGGAAGGCCGTCGCACCGCTTTCTGACGGATGTGGCCTCCTGTCCCGCTCGGGGACTTCACCCTCCTTTTCACATCATCCGGAGACTGGGGCACGTCCGACGGTTTGACCACCCGCAGGCGGAATGGGCTGCCACGTATGGCCTGACCGTAAAGCAGCAGGCAGAATGAATACTCTCCTTCGGAGCGCAACGTGTAGCCCACTTCATACGTTCCATTCTTGTTGTCCGTTATTTCTACTTCTGCAGCTCTGTTACCGTCAGCCGACAATATCTCAGCCTTTAAAACAGCATTTCCTGTCCTCACCAACTCTCCATCCTATAAATAATGACAACAATTACTATGGAACTCATTGTAAAGAGACAATTTCAGTGTAAGTATATATGTAAAGTGTAAATAAAAATTTTAGTATATAGCTAAAAAAGTAAAGGCAAATGTATCTGGTGGCAATAAACTTGATTTGGTAGAGTCCCTTACATTCATAACTAGAAAGAACTCACATTTTGCCCCAAACTTAATTCTATTTGAGCAGTCTCCAACTCCTTGACTGCCCTGCAATGTTCAGATTAATCCATGCTTAACCACACCTGAACAAAAAGGCTGACTTAAGTTCTTCAAAGGTCTAGTAATGAGTCAATTATTTGATTCAGGCGCATTGGAGTTCATGCAAAGGAAAAGGATACGCAGTTTTCAAAATGTTTGACAGCTACATATTTGAAAATATGCTTAGCACTTGCATCAAGCAATTTCTACTCTGACCCGCAAACAAAATCTAGTTGGCTGTAGAATCCAGCTAAATGGCAGAGCACCAGAATGTATAAAACTTTTATGAAATATAAATACAGCTGCTCATGGATACATTTTTGGAACTTCTTAAGGCACTGTTTGGTCGTTAAAACATCTGAACCTCTGAACATCTAAAAGAGCACTGTCAATCCATCAACTGAAAATGGAAAGAGTATGGGACAACTGCAAAGTTACTAAGATATGACTATCCACCTAAATGGACCAGCAGGACAAAGACAGCATTTATCAAAAAGCAACAAAAAGACTCAAAGACTCTAAGAGCTACAGTGGTCCACAGCTCAGCTTAAGTGGGGTGCTTGTTAGGAGAGTGTGAAGAAGTTCCTGCTGACAGATGTAAAAATAAGTCTTGCATCCTGCAAGTCATGTGTGGCAGAAGGCAAACAGAATGTCTGGTCAGACAAGACTTAAACTAAAACCTATGCATCCTTTTTCTGTCTAGCACTGCTTTGTGTTGGTTTGCTATTTAAAATCTCAAGTGAATCTGTGGTTGTAATATGACAAAATATAATAAAACTTCACTGTAAAATACTAAAAGGGCACTATAAAACACTTTCAGAGAGGAAAGTAGCATTCCAAATGATAACGGTGCACTAAAACCTCAGAATAAGAAAAAAATAAAAAAAGTCAGTACTTTGTCTTTTGTTGTCACAGTAATGGTTTGGTGCTGCCCAGTAGCTGCATGTCTCAGTCCCTCCCCTGTGGCGACAGACGTGTGTGCCACGGCTGATGTTGTGAGGAGAACACCCAGGTTCTGGATGGAGCGCCGCAGGCCTTCAGTCTCCACCTAGAGGACACAACTGCTGCTTTAATCAACGCACAAGTGTTAAAGCGGTTGGTGCTGCTGGTGATTAAAATTGATGAGTTTGAATCATAGCAAACAGCGGATAGTACCTGACAGTCTAGATGTGCGTTCTGATGTGGCTTCTCTGGAAAGTCGTGTCTGGCCAGAGCTGTGACCCGCTCACTCATCTGCTTCTGAACCAGTAGCACCTACACTTACAAAACATTAACCATTGTGTTCCTTTAAAAAAATGCAACATCCACTACTATATTTGATTTCCTGATTAGTTGGCTTATGAGTAGCCAGAAAATTATAATTTATGAGTCCACCTCAGTTGCATTCCCATGGCTGAGAGCCTGCTCTGTGAAGCTGCAGCTGCTCTGGATGTGTTCCTTCCCCTGGAGAAGAGAGGACAGCTGGGCATGGAGGACCTGCATTCAAAAAAAGTGGAAAATGGGTTGACAAAACCGGAGAGCAAGAACTTAAAAAAAAAAAAAAAAAAAAAAACAATTACTGCATGTCTGAAGGTGTATGAAATGGACCTTTTGCTTGGAGCTGCAGATGTTCTCCAAGTCTGTGATGAGGGCTGTCTTGCGGTGATGCAGCACCCGCTCCAGCTCTTCAAACGTACTGTTGATCTCTGCTACTGCTTCGGTTTTTCTTTCATTGAGCTGCCGCGAGATCTCACTCACCAGCTCAACAGCTGCTGTCAGCTGAGGAAGTCTGCAAGACAACCAAAGGAAAGGTTTTCATCAAGATATTTTCAGCTGACCTTAGAAATATATATCTCAAATTTTAAAGTTACATTTTAAAACTTCCTTTCTAGGATGATACTTGGTAAGAAATTAAATCACTGCATGAAGGGGCAAAGCTAAAATCCCCCTCAAAGATCAAGTTCTGACCTGCTGTGAATGGCATCAAGCTGTGTTTTGAGCACAGCTTTGTGCTGCTCCACTACGTCCCGCAGAGGAACAGTCATATGATCCCGGTGCTCGCCTTCTGTGCAGTCCAAACACATGGCTGTCTCACAAGACTCACAGTAGAACTCCATCACCTGCAGGTGGAGCCAAACGTAATCATAATCTCTCAGTAAGCATTGCAAGATGTCAATATTTCACGTTGCTTTCATTTTATCTAAAGCACAAAATAAGACAATTTAGGATCTTTCAGCGAGCAGAGAAGGATTTCCTACCTTTCCTTCATGGTTTGGGCAGCAAAGAGGCTTCCCTGCTACCGCAGCGCTGACCGACTCCAACACACTGCAGGCCTCGGGCCGAGAACACTCCGGCTCACGCTGCAGGACCTAACACAACACATTACCATCCTCATTATAAGTTATTTTTAATAATCACGTCTGTGAATACCCCTTTCTTTTAAATCCATTGTGTTGTGAAATTACACAATGGTATTTAGAGTCAGTTTAAATCACCTTAAAGTGTTTTTAATCCATGACATAAACATTTACTTTTTAAATTTCCAGTCACTGTTAATTAAACTCTCAAAAGCTGTGATCTTAAAAAAACCTCCCAGAGATTAAGTCTTCAGAATGACCTCAGTCTGGAAGAATGTCCTCCCTCCCTCTCACAATGTCTTTCCAATTAAATGCAGCTCGAAAAAAAAAAAAAAAAAAAAAAGCTCACACAGGCAATACATATACAGGTTTTATTCATTTGTTCTAATCTTTTATTTTCAACATATAAGCAACAGGTGTGCTTGTATCCGATTAGCATTTTTGCAGTATATATGTATTGTGTAATGCCTCATCTGTGGTATAGACAGATTTTGTGATATAAAACGTAATGTAGGACCAGACCTCCATGAGATTAGTGATGAAGAAGTTGTTCTGCAGAGCTCCCACTCCTTTCTCAGGCAGGATGGATGTTTGTCGACACACAGGACACGAGAGTGTCAGAGACTCCGGAGGAATGTAATTCTGGAGACAGCTACAGGGAGAAAGTTAACAAGTATGTAACATGATATAACATTAACAGAGATATTCATGTAAAAATTAAAAGGATGTTTTATTGTGAAGAGGCAAAATGAATGCATTCCATTTTAATGAGACATTTTAGACCGAGTTTTTGTAATTGTGTCTTTAAAAACAAAAGACACTCTCCATTTCTAAAGAAGGCCTTTCCGAGGAGTCAACAATGTTAAGCTGCTGTTTTGTGTTTAGGGATTTGAATTAGATGTTGTGCTAACAAGAATTTCACAGTTAACAGAATATGATGCAGGAACCACAACCACAGAAGAAGTTAGAGTTCAACAAGTGTGTTGCATCCTTTTTTTTTTCTTCCCCTTTCTTTTTTTCGTTTAAATGCAACATTTATTAGAGACTGACATTTCAGGCTTGGTTGTGCAACGTTTACAAATCCCAATGGTTACCTTTCGCAGAAAGTGTGTAGACAGGGCAGGACCTTGGGGTTGTGGTAGTGATCCAAACAGATGCTGCAAACCAGGAATTGCTTGTCTATCTGACGCACCACAGGGCTGGCGTTCCCAGCCTCACGCTTGGCCATAGCAGTGGACATTTAAAGCCACAGAGAATGACAGCAGTCAACCTGCGGGGATAGAAAAATATAAAATAAACCAAACAAGGTGCTCAGGTTCTAGACTCTGCTTTACAATTAGGTGTGAAGTGATTTTGTTATGCTAGGATTTATAAGTTAAAGCCAAAAAATAGTTAGCAGGCGAGATAAGAGTCTGAGTGTACACTGAGTATGTAAAAAACAAACAAACAAACAAAAAACAGTAATACCAAAGAAAAAAATTGTATCCACAGTTTACAAAAAGCATGGAAAAAAAGACACAAAATAACCAATGAATTAGGGATTCTGGTATGTTTATAAAACTGATGATGGTTCAACTAGTTAGAACAAGTACACACAGAAAAAATTAGAGATTAGGAGGGAGATGCATAAGTGGCCCCAGGATAAAAATGTAAAATGCAAAACAAAGTTGTTTTGCATTTTACTCCAGTTTGCAGAGAAGTGATTAAGGCCAGAATATCCAAATTAAGTAGATGGTGCATGTGACATAATTCAACAACTGAGTCATGCTCAGAAGTGCCAACAGGGATAGCAACATGTTGTGAAAATGCAGCCACATTCTAACTTGCCTCACAGTGAGGGAAAACATGCCAACTGTTAGATACAATGATGGTGCCTGTAACTGTGTAACTGCAGCTAAAATATAATCGTTTTTGGCAAAAAAAAAAAAAAAAAAATGGAAATGTATCTTTTTATGGGACAACAGAAAACCAGAATGAGAGCCTATATAGTGAAACTGGGAGAAGTATAGATCTAATCAATTTATAGATTTTGCTTTTTATTACAACATGCAATAAAAAGCATCACTTGGGTTTGGGTACTTCGGGCTTCTTAAAGCACAGATATAAATATATTAAAGCCAGAAAAACTAACATTTTGAAAGCTTGAAACATTAATAAATTACAATCAGCCTTTTTATAGGTTTTCAAAGCTAATCTGTATTGTAAAACACACCTTTAGCACAAAATAAATGTTTCCTAATAAAGCTTCTTTAAAATGAAGTGCCATTACCACATATGGATATGCCATGTGAAACCATAGTCACTCATCTATTACCTCAAAAGTATCCATAATAATTTCAGGAGTTTGATGTAAATGCTTCTTGTTTAACCAGTGAACTCCTGGTTTTACTGAAAAGAACTGAAGATCTGAACTATATTCACAAATTACATAGTAATTTTAAAGAATATGCGCTGTTGTAAATATGGTTAAGTTCATTTAGACATGCATGTTTCCCACATTACTGTGGTTATACATTGAACTATCCCTTTGGACATAGTTTGATTCAGACACTTAATGAAAGAAAATATTTGCCCTGAGTTGTTCTGAAATCCCCACTCTGAAAGATATGTTAAATGCCGTAGACACTGAAATATAATGGTTGCTAAATCTTTGTGGGTCAGCAGAGCCACCAGCTTTACGTAATCTCATCTAGAAATACAGCTGCAGATCTGGATACTCTGCCTAGCAACACAAACCACTCCTGTCTACGCATGGCCCACTTCCATATTCATTTGTGCAAGCACAACCTTTATACTTAAAAAGTATGCCGCCAGCAGCTGATAAAATATTTTTGTAGCTGGTCTATAAAAGAAGAATCCAATAAAACAATTAAACACCATGTCAGATGTATTTTTGTTCTGGACATTTCTTGTGGCTGTGTCCTTTGAGAGCTTTAGCCTGCACATGTTAGTTTGCATCTCGGTGTTGCTAACTGGTTCCATCCATGTGGTTTGGTCACATTTGCTCAGTAGGTCAGCATATATATTATTTATGCATCAGGCAGGCACTCGTTTTCTTGCTCAAAGACTAAGCAGAGAGCAGTTTGTGTCTGAAACAAGCATATTGAACGTATGAGGTAAGATTTCAACTGTTACAGTTAAAAGAACATCTAAGTTCATGCTCAAAGGTTTAGTTCGATTTATAAGCCCCCACCCCACTCTGTTCTTCTCTGCACATCTGTTGAACCTGAATCTAATGCAGCCCTCAATCCCTGATATCCAATCTGTACTCATGCCTCATTGTCACACGCAAACATACAATCTTGGTGATTAAGAGCATAACTGTATCTTTCCAGTATTTGCAGAGAAGATCCAATGACATGCAGCCCTTGAAGGGGTTAAAGGTCATGTCTGTTGCTCTTAGTCATGAAAATGACACAGAACTTTCACCATGTGAGAACAGTGTGAACAAATAAAATGTTTAGCAGTAAGTATCTTAAGTTTCTCTAAATCTACGTGAATATGCATTGTTCTGCTCTTGGCTTTAAACTAAAAGGGAAAAGTTTATTTTTAATGAACCAGATACGAAGAAGCATACTATATAC